CCAAAATTTTATTTAAAGAAATATTTATATCTCTGTTATGAAAATGAATTTTAAGAATATAATAAAAATAAAAGAAGATCCCTATTATTATTTTATTAAGAATTATCACAATTAAAGTTTAATAATTCCCATTTAAATCAACAAGATTATGTAATACAATGTGCATTAGCAATTTGTATTCTTTATAATAATGAAATACATAAGATTAAAACATATGAATAAGTGAGAATGTAATGGTTTCAGAACTTTGTACCTTTATTAATTTTAAATAGTGTAAATAAAATTGATTGGAAAAAATAAATATTTGAATAAATTAAGAAAATTTTAATTGAATTACAAGAATTATAAAATCAATAAGAATGCAGAAATGAAATAAGAATATTAGAAATTTAATTCCTTAATAATCTTTATAAATAAAAATTACATGGAATAAAGATATTTAGAGTAAAAATGTTATATAATTCATTTTTAAATAAATAAAAAAGAATGCCAATTAAAGTATCTCTAGGTATTCTACATAATGAAATATTGATATTTGAATTAAATCAATAAATTCCATTAATGTAATTGTCAATTTAGTAATTACAGTCAATATCTATTTAGAATAGTGTAATAGTAATTACTTTTCTTGAAGGAATAATTACATTTTAACATTAATAAATTATTGAAGTCTATAGATTAATGGAAGAATATTAATAAATAAATCTTTTAAAAGAGAAATTAGGTTATCCAGAAACAAACGATGTAAGTTAATGTAAAATTATATGACTTTATTTATTTAATATAATTTTGAGTTAAAATGTATTTAAATGATTAGAGTAATATCATAAATCTATAATTATTTTATCTTTTTTTACTAATTCTTATTAGCTTTCATTTAATTAATTCTCTTATGATTGATTTGTATTAGAATTTAATTTCATATTATTAATATATTTAGATTCATTTTTTGTAGCATTATTAACTTTTTATTATTTCAAATCAAGCCAAGGATATTTATTTTAAATTAATATAGTTGAAAATTCTGCTCTGCAAAATGGACAATTTTTTTATTTTTCTAACCAAGAACTTAAACATTTTTAATGAAAAATATGAAAACAAGGAGTAACAGAACAATTTCTTTATTATTTTTTTTATCCATTTTTTATAGATTCTAAACATATTACACATTCCTCAAATTATTATAAACCAGGATATAATTAAATAAGTTTCTTATATGCAATTACTCCAAAATAATCTTTAATAAATTTTTAAGTAAAACCTAATATAATAATATTTAATATTACCATTTGATTATTTTTTTTATCTAATTACTTCTAAATCTATCTAATTTTGTTAAACAATTCTTGTTTATCTTAGACGTAGAGCTTATTATTCTGCTTACATTTTTTTTGTTTTCAAGAAACTTAGAACACAAGTGATTAATAATAAAGTACCAACAACTGATCCAACAACTATAATTATTATTTTATTCCTTTCAAGTTATCCATAATCTGTTGAATCATTAGATACAATTGTAATTTTGAATTATGCTTTTTCGGACTTATTATTAAATATTCCAATGTATAGTATATTGCTACCATATTAAGTTTTTTGTAAATTTTTAAGGTCATCTAACAAAGATGTACTATTAACTAGAACTTTACTATTTAACAAATTTGGAATAGTTATCTAGGGTATTTCTCTAAATGCTAAACTATATACTTAATATAGATTAATACAAATTTACATACTGTTTTATCATCAATAGATATATCAGATAATAATTACAAATCTAGATTTTTATATTGATAATAAAAAAAAATCCATTAAAATGAATCTAAAACTACATCTTCTTAATTGCTACTTAATATATAGCTTGATGGAAGCTAACAAAAGTATCCTACTTAATTAATTTGACACTCACAATGATCAATTTGACAATAAGATTAACTTATAGATTTTGTATCATTATAACCCTGACAATCATTTATGCAACCAGCTTTATAAGACTCTTCCTTATAAGTTAATTAATAGTCAATTTGACCTATTGATTGTGATTAACATAGTAAATATAATGTATGGTAATAGAAGTACTCAATAAGCTATGAATTGCTATTTGATTGTATACTATGTAAGTCATAAACAATTTAGTTTTCCTTATTAAATTTTAAATTTTGAATGTCAAAAGTTTATGATTCTAAATCTAAATTTGATACGAAACAACCAACAGTTGATTCTCTGTCTCGATCTAAAGCTAACAAAAATTTGATATTTATGCTAGGAGCCATTTCGGTAATATTTGTTGTTAAACTAATAGTCTAATTTATTTTTATAGTGCCTGAATGATGATATGCATTGCAAATGTAAAAGAAAAGAAGTATGATCATTTTAATTATATTTTATAATTTAGAAAGGAAAATGAAAATAAAAGCTTGGAATTATGATAATAAAATCTGATAGGAATATTAACAAACTTATTTGTATAATATTCAATAATAGTGTAAAAGTATAATAATTATAGATGTGTTCCATTTAATAAGAAAAAGTTTATATTTAAATTAATAAGCACAATTTTGAAAATTGTTTTGTTTATACTTAAATTGAATTATACAATTTTAACAAACTAATAATTAACATTATTCATCAGTAAATCTAAGCAATTATTGATAAAATTAATAATTAACTAAATAATATTATTAGAATTGTATATTTTGTAAAGAAGGAGAGTTTTAAGTAATGATACTATTTTACAGGGATAATTTAATAATATTCTTAAATGAAATCTTAAATAGATAAAGAAAATTAATAAGACATGATGGGATAATGTAAAATTTGTATATATATAAATACAGGATATCTAATTTTAATTAATAAATTTATTAATATTGTTAATATATTGATATAAGGAGAAATTGTAAACAGTATGGATAATGTTGTTTATTATTATTTAAAGGAGAACATTATAAATAAATATTACAATTCAATATAAAACAATTTATATTTTTCATAATTATTATTTATAACAATATATTATTTAAACAAGTCGCTTAACCAAGATTAATACATAATTAAGTAATGTTTATAAATATCATTAATAAATGTTTTTATTTATAATATATATGTATTAGAACATTAATCATTTAGTTCTTCAGAAAATAAATTATTTTATTTAAACTTATTTTCTTCATTTATTGTTAATGTACTAATTCAATATATTATCTAAATATTGAAGAGTCACTCAAGCCTCAACATAATTCTTTAATTTATCTAATATTGGTTGACATGATTTTTCATTGAAAATGCCATCTCCATTCTTTTTTGAATGAACAACCTATTTTTTACCATTTTTTGTAATTTCTATTTCGAAATACCCAGAAACCTAATATTTTTTTTGTAATTTTACATTTGGTGTCTATTCACCTGTAACCTTTGCATTAGGATAGATAATTTATAAACATTCAACAAAGAAATTGTAAAATTAACCATATCCTCATCCACTGCAATACACTATGTGAACAGAAAATTCAGTGTCTTTCTTAGTACTCATTGATTTAACAGATTCAGGAACTGTAGGTTTAGATCCCATTATAAATATAATATTTAAATTAATAAATCATCTTTGTTATTAAAATATTAATAAATTATATATAAAATCAAATCTTGTATTTTTAAATATCAATAAATGTCTTTAATTAAAAAGGTTCTCTTAAGAATTACGATTTAATTTACAATCTATATCCTAATTTTACTGGTTCTTCTAATATATAATACTATTACAAGAATCTCTTATTAAATAACTATCTATTAATTTATATAATTAAATTTATCATTAAAAAGAAAGAATTTTTATTTAGTATGAAAGACTTCTCTTTCTATTAAATTAAAATAGGTAAATATTATATAGATTTATATTACCTATTAATAATATCATATTTAAAGAATATTTAATAAATATTAAGTTTATTATTATTACATTTATATTGATTTTATTATATATAATAAAATGTAAGAAAATTAAGACTATGATCCAGAATTTCCTGCACCACCTCTATTAGATTCACCTAAATCATAAGAATATCAAAAAGTATAGATTTTAATAAGTATTATTTAGTTACAATAAAAGTATTAAGCAATCAAATAAATAGTGATGTCAAGTGAAAATTCAAAGAATCCTTCTGAAGTTTTATAAAAGTTGCAAGGTTTCTTTAATGGAAGATAGGGTAAGGTGGAATCATAATCAGAATAAACATAACCTGAAATGATAAAGAGTGCTAATGTTTCTAGGAGATTTATTTTTTAGAAACCTGGAACTGCAAATAACTTAAATTATACTCAAGAATTAGAGAAATAGAATACAATGTTAAAATAAAGAATAATTAAAGTTTCTTAAGCTAGAGAGAATGATACCAATTAAATTTAACTTGAATATAATAAAATGAAAGTGAGAGTAGAAAATTTAGAATCAGAAAATAAAAAACTAAAGTCAGATTTTTAAAAATGTTACACATAATTAAAAGAGATGAAATAAGAGAAAGAGGAAGAGGAAAAAATGAAATGGCATAGAGAGGCAGTTTCTGATAAAAATCCATATTTAATGGAAGAATTTAGAAAGAAATTAGATGAAAAAGATAAAGAAATAAAAAGATTATCAAAAAACCTTAAAAAAGTATATAAAAATATAGATAACATAGTTTACAATTTTAGAAAAGAAATTATGGGTAAAAGAAAAAGCATTTGAAGTAGAAAGAAGTGAATATTTAGATAGGATTTTATATTTAAGTGGAAGACTTGGTTTAACAAAATTAGAATGATAACATATTAATTTTTAAAGTTTCTTTATTTAAATTAATAAAAAGTTTAAAATTTATTATTTTAATGGATATTATATCTAAATATCAAATTTATAATAAATTTAAGCTTAATAATCAATTAAAAATATCTTCAATAACATAATTAGTAAATAAAGGCTATTATAAATAATCAAAGTTAAATAAATATTATTAATAATATGTTTTATTTCAATCTAACATCTCTTTAAATACTGCGATACATTAATTTGTATTAAATTTAAATCTATCATAAGTTTTCCTTCTATATATTCTTTTTTAACCCATCATTGCTAATTTATCTGCTTTTTTTACATATTTTCTTTTTTCTCTAACTTAACCTTATTTAGATATATCTGAATCCTTATATTATTCAGTGACTGGTATATATTTTCTGTCTGGTTATGTAAATAATAAAGGTTATTATGATTCTAATTATTAAGTAGTTTAAGTTTATAGATTAGGTTTTTATTATTAGATTTAATGTATAATCTTGGGTTCTGAATCTTCACTATCAGAATTATTTTCTAACATTCTAAGTAATCTAATAGATTGTTATTATTCTGCCTTAAAAAATTCATCTTATTCTTATTATTATTATATTTCTAATTCTCGACCTTCTGCTTTTATCTTTTTAGATATATTGAAACCATCATTTTACACTTCTAAATTATTTGTATTTATTATAACTTTCTTTTGTTTTACTTCATAATCAATTAATTTTGATATTTATTATAATGAATCTAATATTTTAGATAATTGATTTGTTTATTATTTTACTTGATTTCTTAAATCTTAGATTAATTTATCCCAAATCTTATATTCCTAATTATCAGCAACTAACTAAAATGTCCATTAATTTGATTAATCTTTATAAAAGAGCATATGTTATCCTACTTTTTTTAAAGCCATCTATTAAGAATTAGTTGGATGTTCTACTTTAAGAATTCCTTCTACTTATTTGAAGTGTTCAAATTCAATTGTTTCTTTTCTTTTTTAATACAATAATTTAAGACTTTCTTAAAGAGATTAATCAAATTATGCAATTTAAAGTGTCAATTCACTTATATTATCTAAAGGTTCTGGATTATCATGTTATAAAATCAAGTTAGCAACAGATCTTTTAAATTATAAAAGCTCTATCGTCATATGATTTTAATGATCTTTGGCAATACAAATTGGACATAGTACTGCATGCTTGCATAACCCTTTTAGACAGATGTGAGTTTTAACTTATCCTTCATGATATTGACACTTCATTGAATTGCGAAAAAAAATAATCCTCCTTTTAATTATTTAGTTTCTATGTAAATAGGATAAGTAATATTAACAACTCTCTATTTTATATAAGGATTAATTGTAGGTTTACCTGGAGGAGCAATCTAAGTGTTATATGCACATGAGAAAGATATTGGGATATTCACATTATGTACAATACCTTGGGCTTTCAAATTTGTATGGTCACCAATCTAAGATTATTATTTTATTGAAAAATTCGGCAAACGAAAAACTTATATAGTTCCATTTCTTTCACTTATGGGTATTCTTTTAATATTGGTTGCAAATGCTGAACATACTCTACTTAATCTATTTTATTATTACATTGCTTTAATGATTTGTTTATCTACAAGTGACACAGCAATAGATGGATGGTCAGTTACATTATTATCAAATGTAGCTTAATAAAGTGTATGTTAAACCTTTGGATAATAAGTTGGATGGTTCATCTCTTAATCTATTTTCATATTGCTTAATCAAAAAAACATAATCAATTTTGCTCAATATTAATATACTCTAGGAATAATATGTATAATAATGTCAATTATTGTTATTTTTGTTAAAGAAACTAATCCTGATGAAGTCATACATTATTAGAGTCTATTTCATTAGATTAAATAAGTTAAAGGATTATATTACAACAAAAATTTAAGATTCTTGTGTTTATTCATTTTCCTTTAAAGAAATGGAATAGCATTTATGGATATAGCAGCACCTATAGTAATGATAAGAGCAGGAATGGAAAAGACATTCATAAGTTAAGCTTAAATAATTATATTCTGTTGCACTTTTTGGATTCCTTTGATTATTGGTTATTTTATATCAGGTAAAAAGAAAGAGAATGCCTTAGTTATAAGTGCTTTGACTTATTAAACAATTAATATGGCTTTCTTTTTATTAGATTATTATGAATATCGAAAACATCCATTAACTGAAGGCACAATTAATTAATTTTAATACTTATTTTGTTTCCAATTATTAGTACATGAGTATTTATATTGTTTGAATAAATAGAATTTTTAAGAAAATCTTTACTGTTTGTACTTTTTCATTTGTTGCCGAAATTGTTGAACCTTAATTAGCAGGAATGCAAATATCAATTATTAGTTCATTACATAATGTAAGTAGAGTAATCTTGGATCCTTTGATTCTACAATCAACTGCATATTTTAATATATATGCTTTGGTTTTAATATGTGTGTTTTATTAGATTATAGTATTGAGAAGGTATGGAGATGAATTCAAAATCAAATAATTTATATCTAAAGAGAATTGGACACTTCATACACAAGACACAATTGATGACTATCAAGAATTAAAAGAAATTAAAGGATTTAATAATCAATCATGAATTATTATTAATAAATATAATATATATATAAATGCTTCGAAAATTATTTTTTAGATTTTCTCAAGATATAGAAAAGGTAATGGCTGATAAACTTACTTAAGTCTTAAAAGCCACAAAAGTTGAAGTTATTGATACATCTGGAGGATGTAAATAATTAATCAAATTTCTATATAGGTGGTTCAATGTATCGATTAGAAATTGAATCTCCTGAATTTTAAGGTAAATCAAAAGTGAAATAACATTAAATGGTTGTAGAAGCTTTAAAAAATGAATTAGCAGGTGCTCATGGATATTCGATTAAAACTAACATCCCCAAATGATTGATATTTATTTTTTTTATATAATCAATGTAAAATAATTTATTTTTGGTTAAACATAATTAACATTGATTTTAATTTTGATGAAAAAGTACTACATTAGATATTAAAGATGATTTGATTATTATTGAATGAGTAAAGAAGAGATGATTGAATTAAGATATTTTTATTAAATATGATTTAATTAGAATATAATGTTATTCCAATATATTTTCATTGAAAGTTGAACAGAATTGAAAAATATTTAATAAGTTATAATAAGGAGAATGTATTGTAATATTTAATAAAATGGATTATGAATGTAATAAAAATGTATTACATTTATAATAATACTTTATTTTAAAGAGATTTTTAAGAAAATGAAGATAATAAAATTTAAATGGGTTGATGTGTAGAAAATTCCTTATTTTTCTATATAAATACTGAATTCCATATGTATATTAATAAAAGAACATATTAAAATAATATAAATTGAATTATTAAATAATTCATGGATGCAATCTGAAATCATATTACAATGATCAATATTATTTCGTCATTATTTATAAATGCATAATCTAAAATTCTTGTAATTAAATACGGAAAAATGTATAAATTAAATTTATTAAATGAAGAAAACACATACAAGATATTTATTGGAAATACCAACTCATGAATATTAAGAGAAAAAGGTTTATTATGTCATTAAGGTAACAAATTTGGATACTAATGATTTCAAAGAAGTGAAAAAACGATATTCTGAACTAGAATCAATTCACTATAAAATTTTGGAATGGATCAACATTTTCAAAATAAAAATCCCTTAGTTATAATTTCCAAAAAAAAAAATTCTTTTCAGCACTAATCTATCAGAAGAGAGTGTTAATAAGCGTGTATTTTCATTTATTAATGTAAGAGAGCTGAATTATAAAAATATTTTAATGATGTCTTCTAACATCCTGAATTACAAAGTTTAGGTTCAATTGAAGATTTCATTCCTGTGACTAAAAACAGAAAACCTCTTGATCAGAATTAAACATCTCAAAATTCTAATAATTAATGGTCTGAAATAGAAGCATTAAAGAAATCTTATTTAGCTAAACATGAGAATCAGGTTTTTTCATTACCTTTAATAAAACCACAACAATAAATCAAGTATATTAAATTTTTACATTCTTATTAGATAATAATACACCTTTAAGTTTGGAGAGCATGCTTTCTTTGATAATTCAGCAATTTACACCATTGAAATCACAGATCATTATGCTAATAAGAGTTGGAAATTCAATCAAAGATATCAAGATTTGAAGGAAAATCATAGATAATTAAAAAAAATAAAGATTTCTTTTGAATTACCAGAGTTTCCTCATAAAAAAGTCATAAATTCTATGGATAATAGTGATTTAAAAGATAGAAAAACTTAATTAGAAGTCTATCTAAACTCAATATTTAAGTACTCTTATTAATCTAATAACTTAGATATCATGAATTAGTTTCAAGTAATCTTATGGTATTCTTTATTGCCAAAAGTTAATTGGATGGTAATGAAATAGGATGTAGATCTAAAGGACCATCATAAACAACCTTAGAATATTCAAGTATATAAAGTCAATCAAATATCATGGATTAAAATGATGACTTTGATCCAAAACAACCGAGAAAAATTACCTGTTGATGTTCTCCTACTTAATTTGTATATATAATAATTTTAACAGTAATATAATTAAATATTCAAATGAGCTACAATAGCAAAACTATTGATTTGATTCTCAAGGCTTAAGAACCAAATTAAAAGTAATTCACAACATTTCAATAATTCTTTAAATCCAATAACCCACCACCTCTATTATTTGAAAAAAACATAACCCCTAAGAATGTAAAAGCATAGCGTTCATTTTCTAATAAAACATAAGATTCAATTAAAGAAACAAAAAGAAAAAGTTTAAGTTAGCTTAAATACCCTGAATACAGGATGTTGAAAATATATTCAAGAATTAAACCAGGTGAATGCTAACTTAATTATGATAAGTAATCAATACTTATAGAAACAAATTCTTATAATTTTGATAGAGTATTTGAATAATCAGCTACATAGGTATATAAATAAATTATCAAAGGCTGATATTTTTGATATAATGGCAAAATAGACAGTTGATGATTTTCTTCATAATATAAATGGATGTTTAATAGCATATGGATAAACAGGAAGTGGAAAAACATTCACTATGTTTGGTGAATCAAGTAATCCTGGAATAGTTTTAAGAACATTCACACATTTATTTTTAAGAAATAAAGAAACAATTTATGTTTCCATTCTTGAAATATACAAAGATCATGTGTATGATTTAGTATCTGGTGTTTAAGATTTAAAATTAAAAGAAGATCTTTAATTAGGTTTTTATGTAGATGGATTAAAAAAGATTGTATAAATTTAAATGATATAATTTAGAAAGTAGATAAATTAGAAAGTTGTTAGGAATTACTATAAATAGCTGAAGAAAATAGACATGTAGCTGAGACTAAATTGAATGCTTTAAGTAGTAGAAGTCATTTAATCTTGACAATTTAAATGGGAAAAACAAAACTTCATTTAGTTGATTTAGCAGGAAGTGAAAAAGTTAATAAAACTGGAGCAATTGGTGAAACACTTTAAGAAGCAAAGAAAATAAATTATTCATTATCATGTTTAGGACATGTTATTCAATGTTTATCATAAGGATAAGATCATATTCCATATAGAGATTCTAAACTTACTAAATTATTAATGGATAGTTTATAAGCAGATTGTAGAACATCAATTGTAATTCAATATATAAGATATTTAGATTGTAACTATTTCTCCTGAAAATAAAAATTAAGATGAAACTATTTCATCCTTAAAATTTGCTTAAAGAGCTAGGTTTATTAAAAAGGAAATTAGAATTGCAACATAGAAAAAAACATACAGAGATTTAGAATTAGAAATTACTTAACTTAAATAGGAACTATTGGAAACTAAACAAAGAATGAGTTAAACAAGTTCAGTTTCATAGTTTCAATGTCGATATACTACTGATTCTGAAATTCCTTGTACTGAAAGTTTAAGATTAACTTATAGAAGTATGACAAATGAAAATAAGGAAAATTGTTTGCCTAATCTCAAAACATAAGAAAATAATATTTAATTAGAATTAGAAAATAAGATAAATTAAATTTTGATTGAATTACAGACATTAAACAAAGAGTAGAATTTTGATAATGTAAAAAGGCAACTTAATAAAATAAATGAATTAACTATTGAAATTAAGAAAACCTATAAGGTCTTAGTTAGTACTCAAGGTTTGAATAATAATCATTTGCATATTCAAAGTTAATTTATTGAAACATAATAAGAACAAAATAAATAGTTATAAAAGATTGCAGAATAAATATCAAATATGGATTCTAGTAAACCAAGTTTTAATATAGCAATTAATAATATGATTAAGAATCTTTAACAATAATAAAAATAAAATATTGATGATATGTAATCTAAATTAGAAAAGATGTATTATGATATTAAAAAAACAACAACTGTTTAAGATTATAATTTAAATCATTTAGCATTGAAATTAGTTGCCTCTCCAAATAGATAATAATAATAACAATAATAATAATAATAATAATAATAACAATAATAAATTAAAAGATCTTAATCAAAAACTAATATGAATCCTTCTGTTAAGTATTTAAAAAATAAAAAATGATTATAATTAATCCATATATAATACTATATTAAGATCATTTAGTCTTTCCATTTAATTTGAGCTCCTTCCTAACTATCCTTGAAAATGGTCCCATGTATCCATCAAATATGTAAGCTAAAATAGCTAAAGTGTAATTTGTATGATATGGTAATGAATCATAGAATTCAGGTGCAATTTTTTTAACTAATGGTAATCTAGACCATGGAATATTTGGAAAATCATGATGTTCGGTATGATATCCTAAATTCAAAATTAAAAAGTTTGCAATTCCAAGATAATTATATGTTTCTAATCTATTAATAAATTCATAATGTTCAGTAATTAGATGAGCAGCTAGAGGATGGATACTAATATATATTAATTATAATATTACCTCAATCCAAAATAGGTTGATAGTATTAACCATCCCAAAGCAGATGGTCCCATATATATATATATCAAAGTATTTGAAATGATTATTGCTACTAAATTTAAGATTTCGTATTAATTAGGTACTAAGGGTCTTATAAACATTGGTCTAAGTGAATAGAATAAAGGTAAAAAAAGCATAAATAAAAATTTACGCAGAGGTCCTGTCACATGATCTATTTCCCATTGAGATGGCAAATCTGGATCTAAATCAGGCAAATTCATAAATGTGTGATGATCTGAGTGATATCTTATAAATATATAAACATATTTTTACCTTCCAAAAGTAATAGCAGATGGAACTCCCTGACCAAAATTTAAGAAAATGGCCATCAATTTATTGTATTACATACTCTCAAAGCACAAATAATGTGTAAAATCATGCATTAAAGCATGGAGGGCATGACTTAAGACTGCTCCAATGCAGTATGATGAAACTAGATACCACAACCAATTTGTCGTTGAAAAGAAGTTGATACACCAAAATTGAGCTAGAACAATTCCAACTCCTAGCCATGCTGACATTATATCTGGGCCAAAAAGAATTTTAATTTCTGGGTGTTTTTCGAGGATTTATTTTCTTCTTATTGCATGTGGTTCATCATGACCTTGTTAATATTTCTATTATATCATACCCATAATATGAAAATAAGTAATATTTTTTTCAAATTTTGTATTAGCAAAAATTGATTCTCTAAAGGTAGAATGTCCATTTCTTTTTTCTTGCTCTTTGAGAAGCTCAGGTTAATTTGAATCCTCTAACAATCCTTGTGAGTTAAGGAACATTGGAGATAATAATTATTAAAATATATGAATTTTTTGATTTTGGATATTTGCTTTAATAATATTATTTGTTAAATCATTATTTAATTTATTAAAATAATATATTAAATATTAATACGAACTATTATTATAAAAAAATATTATGTCAAAGATCGAACTCACGATCATTATTAAATAACATAATTGAATAAATTATCATATATGGAAGGAGAAATAAATGCTTTTAGATCTCTGGGCTCTAAAATACTTTTGAAACAACAAATTTACCAATATTAATTGAAATAAGCGTTATTAATACTCATCATAAATTTTAATATTAGTTTATTTTAGTAATTCTTAAATGTTAAAATATACAATTAAAATATCAAATTATTTGAATAGCAGAAATTTAGAAATTAATAACCTACTATCACTAAAATACTATTATAATAGAGAGATAAGCAATGGATTTAAATAAATAAGGATCATTTTATTTTTACCAAATTATATTAATATATCTAGAAGAATGAGGTTTAGAAATGGAAGAATACAATTATAAATTATCTATTGATTTTATAATTGAATTTTATTATAATATCAAGCTTTTTAAGCAGATGATAATAGACTTAATTTTTATTGAATTGACTTAATATAAAGTGCATCTACTTCTGATGCCTTTTCTACTGCTTTTAGTGGTTTTGTAGTCCAAGACGCCTCTACTATCTAAACAGAATATTATAATAATTTTACAGATTCCATGCTTTTAGTTTATTTTTCTAATTTATTTACTTGATCTGCTTTTCTTTTTATGTAACTTTCTTGTTAAGAGGATTCACCATAAGTTTTATCATCAATATACTATGATTATATTTAGAAATTCTTACTTTTTTTTTAATTTTATCAACTTTTTAATTATGTTATGCTAATTTCTTTCTTTTTAATTCTTCTTTTTATTCATCATCTAAATTATCTAAATTGACAACTTTTCTTGGTGTTTATTCAACACCTTCCTCTCTCTTTCTTCTTTCTTCTTCTTTTTTTCTTTCTTCTTCTTTAATTTTTTCTTCTTTTTCTAATCTTTCTTTTTCTTTTCTTTCTTCTCTTTCTTTTTTAGCTTATTACAATACTTCTTATAAATAATCATGTCTTTCAAGCTAAATAATTATATTAAAAATTACAGTTCCTAAAGTTTAATTTTTAGCAATTTTAGGAGTGGAAGTAATTTATGGAAGTTCTAATTTCTTTTTTTTTTATTATTCTTAAAGTAATTTTAATTGTTTTTCTCTCTCTTCTTTTTCTAATTCAAGAGCCTTTTAATGTAATTCTTTAAATTCTTTTAGATATTCCTTTCCTTTTTATTTTGCTAATGTTTCCTCATATTCATAATCAAATTCCTCTTTTTTCTTTTTATCTTCTTCTTTTTATTTACTTATTATAATTGATTATTCAAGTTCCTTTTTAGCCTTTTCTTATATTTTTTTATATCTTTCCAATTCTTTTTCTCTTGCTTCTTTTTCTTTCTATTATCTAGCTTCTTCTTCTCTTTAGAAAATTTCATAATCTTGTTCCTTTTCTTATTCTTTATTATTTTTTTTGACCATTCTAATATATCTTTCTGGATGTATTGTTTTATCTCTTTAGACCAATAATTCTTCTTCTTTTTATTTATCTTTTTGAATTTTAATAGTTTCTTTAACTTTTTTATCATAATCTATAATTTTTTATTTTTTTTCTTTAGCTTAATTAATTAAGGATTCTTTAGGAATAATAGAGATATCATCAAGTGATTTATTAACTCTAGATTCTTATAATAACCATAGTTTAGAATCAAAACTTGCATTAACATTTTAACTAAATTTACCAGCTTCTAAACCTAATTTTTCAAGAGCTTTCATTCTTTTTTCTTCGTATTCTCTTTTTTTCATTTTAAGTTTTTTTAAATATTCTTTCATATGTTCCTCATATTCTTAATTATAATATTCATTTTTTTCCATTCTATTTTTTCTTTCTTAATTAACAATTTCTTATTATTTTTTTATCTTTTTATTATATTTATCTAAAACTCTCAAATATAAAGGTTATTCAATTTCAATTTTTTTTGGTGGATGTTAAATTTTACTATTAGGAGATGCACTTTTAGGTCTAATCTTTTTCTTCTTATCTTTTTTCTAACCTTCATATTTGTATGGTTTCAATTAAACTTTAGGAATATCTACTGAAGCAATTAATGATCTTTCTTTATTCATTTTAGATAATTTATCATTCAAACTCTTAAAATATTCATCTTCCATTTTATCCATTTTTTCTAGTCTTTATTTCTATTTTGCTTTCAAATCATCAATATTTTCTCTTAATTTTGCATGTAACTGTTCTTTCATTTATTATCTATATTATAATAATAAGAAATAATGATTACGTTTTGATAGCATCTTCTTATTTTTTTCTTTCTTCTTCTTCTCTTTCTTTCTTCTCTTTCTCACTTAATATTTTATTAGTTTTTTCTCTTCTTGTTTTAGCTTCATGTTATATTTTTTAGACTGTCTCTTGGGCTTATTATTATTTGGTTATATTTTCCTCTTGCATATACAATTTTAGGGTTGGTTAACTATAAGCACTATAAGCATTGTTGATTTTCTGACTTTTTAATGTTTTTAATTCAGTATCAACATTTTATAGTTTTGTTTGTAATTAATCTTTTTCTTTTTCAACAATCAAGACTTTCTTATCCATCATATGTCCTTCAACATAATTAAATTTGGAATTCTTATAAAAAATATTAACTTTTAATTTACTTCTAATTATAAGACACCTTTACGAATTGCATTAAGTATTTTATCTTCAACTCTTTCAGCATTTCTTAATGATAGCTAAGAATAGTATAAAAAATAAACCTTTTGAGAAATGGAATCTTACTTATTTTTGAGAGTTTCAAAATACTTATTTTAAAAGTCCATCATAGTTTGTTTCATCTTTTAGATGTGATCCTAAATACCATAAAATAGAAAAATTACTATATCATTAGTTGAAGCTTTGACAGTTTCTTTTTTTGGTGGAGATACCTAAGCAGTTTTGGGTTGTTGAATTGGTTGTTGTTATTATGGTTATTGTTATTTTTAATCATTTGGTTTACCACTAGTTTTGGGAGGGTCTTTAGCAGTTGGTTGTTATTATGGCTATTATTTTGTTGGTGGTGCTGCGGGATTTTATTTCATTATTTATATAAATATTAATTGCACATTTTGTATATAAATCAATAACAATTCTTAGCAAATCTAGCATAAGTTTCATCAAGATTATTCTTCATATTTTAATCAATTGCCCATTATCTTTAACATGAGTCTGATGTCACAACACTAAGGCCAGCTTGAATCATCCAATGTATAGGCACCACTACAATTATAAGTGTAAGAATTGTCATTATGAGAGTTTTGGTTTCCTTTATTTTGAGTTCGTAATACATATCTCAATAATGTTCTTGATAATGTACCTATTATTTTTATTAATTTGAATATATATATATATATATATTTTTTAATAACTCTAAGAACCACATAAATTCAAAAAGCCTATCCTTACAAAGTTTAATTTAATAAATAGAAAGCACTAATCCTATCATTTTATGGCACCATGTGTCCAGCTCCTCTTACAGTAACAAATCTTAATTTATTTGAGTATCCTTAAGTATAACCTCCAAGTTAGTTATTTTTTACATAATATGGTCTCCATTCTTCAGTGATTGACACTTTTAATTTTTACAATGCTATAATTTTTATTAAATTAATTACCTTATAATGTATCTAAGTATGGAACTACACTATCAGCATCTCCATTATATAATAGAATAGTGTAAAGATTATAATTGAGTAATTCTTACAATACTTTCATAACCAGAGGAGGATCTGATATATATTTAAATTATTTATTGTGATATTTTGAACACATAAACCATTGTATACTTTCATCCACATGAAGATACCTTTTATTCTAAATGTCATTCAAATAGTTTTAAATATTTTCTATCTATACACATGGTACTCCTAATTCATGGTTAGTAACTTTAACAATATTATCATTATGAAACATCATAAATTATTTCATTTCCAAGATCCACTCTTATTCATTTTCTTATTCTTTCTCTTCATAATAACAATATCCATAAATATCATATGGATTGATTCTTTTTGTTATTCTCCAAGCATTTTAATTAACATCTTTACAATCATCAGATGTAACATTCTTCTCACAAGCAGAAATATCAAATGTTGGAGGTAACAATTAATGTTACTTTTAATATATTAATTATGAAATAGGAAGATGTGTTAAATTTGTTACTCCATTCCCAATCATCATACCTTATAAATTTATTACAGCCACTTATAAATCATTAAACTTTTTTATTCTCTCTGCAAACAATGGAATATATGCTCCTGCATAACTTTCACCTGCTAACCATAATGGATTCTTTTGATATTCAGGATAATTGCTGTAAAATTCCTGTAATACTTTTAAATTGTCATCTGCTGTTTATGAATCATTAAATGTTATGTTCAAAGGATTATGTGAAAAACCCACTCCACTGGGACTTTCCAAAAATAATAAATGCGCTACTCTATTCCAAGAATACTCATTATATGATAAACTCTCATCATCCTCATTCAAAAATACAAAAGGACCAATTTCTTGGAGAAATCCAATCATTGATGAACATCCTTTAATATTCCTTATATATTATACCTGGTCCACCATTTAACCACAACACAAGAGGTACAGTATTATCCTAATTATTAAGCTAACTCTAAACAAAAACATAGTGAAATGATTAATTGCTATCAGTTATCGATAAATAGCCTGAATATATTGAAAAATTAAATTCTGTCATATTAAATGGCTAATCAAATTCAATGATAATAATCTTACAGGTAAATAAGTCACTAAGTCTTCAATTTACACTCCTAAAATATGAACAACTGTTAATATTAGAATAAAAATCATAAATTTATATGATTATTTATTTATATTTTGATATTACATTAAAGTAAAATACTCTAATTGTAATAATATTTTTCATTCATTATCACTACTTTTATTAATATAGAATTTCAATATAAAATTAAACATTATAATTTAAATATCTTATAATAAATTTATATTTATTTTTAATCTTAAAGTTTTATTTTATTTCTTAGTATTCAAATATTTTGTTAATCATAAAAGTTAAAATAATATTCAATTCAAAATATCAAAGATCAAAAAATAATCATTTTACTTTTAATTTTTTTAAATGAAAATTTATAATCTATTTAATTTTTCAATTAATATTATTTAGAGTTAAATTAAATCTTTAATTACACTACTATTTATTTGAGTTTCACCCTAGAATCTAAATCCAAAGCACAATTATTTATCTTAATTTTAATGTGCAACCATTGATGCTTTTGGATTTTAATATTTTAAATTGATATCAAAAGAGTTTAAATATATATAATAATTAATATAAATCAATAAGTTTTAATTTATAAAATTATCTGTAATTGAAAATTTACTAAAATTTTTAATGGTATAATTTTAAATAAATTTAAAAATCAAGAAATATATATTATTTAGTAATATTTAATAAAATTTTTCAATCTTATTAATGAGTTAAATTTTTTTCATATATAATTTATTATTAATTACTTAATATTATGAATAGATAATATGATCATTTAATTAAACTATAAAAATTTATATGAAATATCAATTTATATGAATTCTTGTTTGAAATAATTAAGTTAATATAATGAATCATCTATACTCATTTTTTATGCTTCTTAGACTTTTTTTCTTTCCTTCTACTTCTACTACGACTCTCTTCCTTCTTGACGTCTTTCTCTTAAGCATCTTTTATTTATTATTCTTATTGTGCAAGTTCTTTTAATCTCTTTTTTTCTGCTTTTTTTTGTTCCTTTAATTAAATTAAACGTTCAGCTTTTCTCATTTCTCTTTCAACTTTTTTTTCCAATCTTGTTTTCTCTTCAGCATCAAAATCAAAAGCTGTGCCTGGTTTAAATTATTCTTTATCAATTCCAAAAGCATCTCCAATTTTTCTCTCTTACTCTTCTTTTCTCTAAGTTTTTACATGAGTGTCTGCAACATGACTTAACTTATAGTAATATAGTACTCTAATTAATATTCTCCTTTATTTAGCATATCTTTCAATTTTTCCTCCAATCTTTAAACTCTCTATTTAATTTCGTCTTCTGCAATTCCTCTTGCTTCCAATTCCTCTTATAATGTAAGTTTTTTCAATTCAATGTCTCTTTTCATTTCATGTAAAATAATATCTGGATTAGCTTTCTTTCGTGCCTAAATAACATTTTCCTAAATTTTATTAAAAATAATTTTTAACTTTCATAGCCTTAATTTCTTTAAGAAATTCATCCTGCTTTCTTGTAGGTTTTATATGAGCTAGATTTTTTTATACATACCCAGAGGTACCACTACCTCTAGGAGTCATTAAACCAATATTATTATACATAATAAATATATAATTTAAATATATAATTTTAATTACATTTTCTATGAATAAGAAATGATATTACATTGATATCTCTTTTTTTATTTTCATTAAGCATCTAAATAAGTAACATAATTTATATCAATAAAATTGTATCTTATATTATTGAACACAATTTTATAAAATAAATACAAGTACAATACATTTCTTTTTATATCTAAATGATAATTATTCTCTATTTAATTAAAATTACTTAAAATTAGATAATTTGAAGCAAAAAAGACCATAATTATTTTATATTTCATAAATCCATTTTAATTCTTAAAGAAGCTTTATATATTATATTAGGTAAAAATATTGAATTATATTTAAAAAATAATGAATACTTAAAGAGTTTATAGGAATAAAATCATATCAAATGATTTTAAAATTACATAATTTAAGTTAAAAATATAAATTTACTTACTTATAAGTGTAAAAAAAGAATGAGATATGATTGGATTATAGATTTTGAATAATATTTAATTTCTTAGTTTTACATTAATATATTAATACTAAATTTTGATATTTTCTAATATAATAAAATAAATGAATTAAAATTAAGATGATAATTCAAGTGATGATGTAATTTAATTTGAAGATAATGAAATAATAGATTTTTCTAATATGGAAGAAAAAACTAGTCCTAAAGATAACAAAATTTAATAATAAGAACACAACGTTGTTTATGAATTGAAAAATTCTTCTTAATAAATGCTAATTTAGGTAAAAATAGGAAATATTGCAGGAACAATCACATCCAAAATAACAGCAAATGTAATAAAGCTAAAAATCTCCAATAACAATAAAACAACATTAAAAAAGTGATTCTCCTGAACTTTAGAAATTTAAGGACAATAATTATACTATTTTATAAAATTTATAAATTGACTTTAGCTTAGAATAATTTTTAATATCTCCTGCTCCTAAAGGTGGAATGATATAATGTAGATTTTATAGAGCTTCTCCAAAGTTTACATTGTTTTTAGAATAATACAATAATATTTTATTAAATGCAGAGAAAAAATCATTTTAAATAAAGGGCAGCTATAAAATTTATGCTAAAGGGAAAAAAGAGTAATATTTAGGTAAAATTAAAGGAGATTTTATGGGATTAAAATATTTATTATATGATAATGGAAAAACAGCCAAGAAATCAAAAGACATAAATTAATTAAGAAAAGAGTTAGGAGTGATATATTATTAACCATATGAAAAGAAGTTACGTTCAATTTAGGTACTAATTTTCTTAATTTTAGTCTTTTATTCCTTAAATAACCTCTAGTGGATAATTATATGAATTTAAGAATCAAAAACCTTATACATCTATTATAAATAATTTAGACAATGTAATTGAACTAATAAATAGAAAACCTTAATGGATTCCTTCATATAAAGCTTATGGATTAAATTTTTATGGTAGAATATTTACAAGTTCTGTAAAGAATTTCATATTGACTGAAAGAGGAAATGAAATCCCAGTAATGTTATTTGGAAAGAATGATGATAGAGAATTTGTCCTTGATTTTTCATATCCTCTAACTCCAGTTTAAGCTTTCTGTATTGCACTTTCAAGTATGGATCATAAATTTGGTTGTAAATGAAGTTAAATGTATCATAACAATATTGGCTTGTGAATATAAAATGATTATTATTCTTTTAAAATAGGATGTATTTTCTTAAATAACAATATAAATATTGTATAGCCATTAACATTTTTATACCATTAAATAGAAACACTTGATCATAGCTATTTCTAATTATATATATATATATATATACTAAATGTAAATTTCATTAATTACTATAAGAAAAAGAAAAATAAAAATTTAATAATCTTTTATAAGGAGTGATGATTTTTTATTTAAAGAAATGATAGAAGTGTTAATAAATATTTATTAATATTCTTTAAATACAAAAATGATTAATGAGTAATAAAATAATTTTTGAAATTTGAAAACTGGATTGTCGGTTTTTTTATTAATTTACACTAATTTATATTAAAATTAGAGATAAAAAATAAATTAATATAAATAATAGGAAAACTTTACTATGTAAAATAAAGCTTGTGATTGGATTTGTGTTGAATGCAGGAATCTAAATTATTCATTTAGAAAGATTTGTAATAGATGTCAATAATGTACAAGAGATGCACCAGGAACTAGATTCATTCCCAACAAAAATGATTAAGGATTATAAATACTTGAAACAATTAAACTTTAACAAATAGATTTAGGAGGAAGTAATCATAGTTCAGCAGATAGTAATGATGATGATGAAAATGGAATATTCTCTCAAGCTTTATTTCTTGAAGATTTATCAAAAAATTCATAGAGTGTAAAAAAATCATTCTCTTTCTTGAAAAAATGTTAAGTTTGCTTCAATTAGAACTACTTTTACTAGTAAAAATGTAGTCATTGTGGTTATTCTTCATTTAATTGATTCTTTATTTTAAAATTAAATTTGAGTCTAATAATTGTTATCAAATTTTATCACAATAGAAAAAATAATTAATTTTCAAACATAAGTGAAAAAAAACAATATAAAATATTTTAAACTACATGTCGATAAACTGAAATTTATAAATTAATATATAACTACAAATTATGTTATTAAATAAATAATTTATTGTTTTTCATATAAATGTGAAAACTCATTTATAAAAGTTAAACATTACTTTTTCTTCTTTAATCATTTTATTTTTACAATAAATCTAGTAATATGTATGTATTATAATGTAATAATTTAATAAATAATGAATTAGAATTTCAACATTAGTTTAAAATAAAAATACCTTGACTTTGAAAAAATAGTAATGTTATATCAGATTTTCTTGAAGATTAAGCAAACAAATAATTGTTCAAAAAAAGATTTTATAGAAAAGTTAATGAAATTATGAAAGAACAAAATTTTCTTAATAATTAGCTTGATATTATCACAAGATAAAGTTTTATTATATTTAAAAGAGTTTGCTATCCATCATTTAAAAGCCTATAATAATAATTGTAGCTTATCAAAGAACCCAGCCAAAAATTAGTGAAAACAATTACTAATTTGTAAGTATTATCGAGGGTAGAAAAGATATTTTATATTTCTAAATTAATAATGAATTCTTCATTTTTATCTTGAATAAATTGAGCATGTTTTAAAGCTTCCATTATATAATTAAATCTATTATTTCTTTTTTTGTAGAAACATATTAGAACATTTTCAAGGTTTAATTTATAAATGATTTTTACAAAGATTCAATAAACAAACAAAAATTAATCATCTTAGATTTATTAGCAAAAATTTTGAAACTTTATTTTTAAATAATAATAACATTATATATTTACTCAAATTTAACTAAATTAAAGTTTTTCTAAATTTTACATTTTAAATACTAGATTTTTCTTTCTCAATTTTATCATCAAAACTGATTAACATAGAGAAATACACAATCAAAAATCAAAAAGGATAAAAAACTTTACTCTTTCTTGAAGTATTTAATAAGTGAAATAATTAAAATGATCAATTAAATTTTACTATATGATTTTCTTACTTCATTTTAATATTCCACCTTTTACTATAATATTTATTTATTATTATAATGTAGTATAAATTCTATTTCTTTAATTTTATAAATGATGGAGAAATATTAACATTTATCTTAATCTTTAAATATTATGATTTTATTTATTAATAGATCATAATCTTTGAATAACACTTATTTCTATTTCATATATAATACTTTTGACAAGAATAGGTTAATTAATGCGTTATTATAAATTATAAAATGAATTAAGTATGTTCATATAAATATTGTACTAATAAAACAGTTCTAGAATTGGAATACATTTGTTCTGTTTGTTAAATAATGAAATATTGCTCTTAAAAATGCAAGGATACTGATTGGTAGATAATGTATTTTATTGCAGGACTTTGTCTCATAAGAACAATTGCAGACCATGTCAAATTAAATCAAAAACCGAACTTAATGACTCAGCTTCAACATTAAAATCAATTAGAAGATCATCAGAAGATTTTGAAATTATCATTAAGGATAATAAGATGGAATTGGGAAAAGGTAGTTATGGGTGTGTTAAATTGGTCAAAGATCGTTAAAATGGATAAATGTATGCTATGAAAGTGGTATTATTGATTATTATAATGAAGATGAACAAGAAATAAATATTTGAGTATTGTTCTGTTGAAAATCTTAAAAGGGAGATTAAAATTTAAAGAAGACTATAACATCCTCATATAACAAAGTTATTTCATTATTTTGAAGATAAAGAGAATGTATTTCTTATATTAGAATTAGCAGGTATCTCAAATTTGTTATATTTTAAGAAAATGGCAGTTTATTCAGCTATATTAGAAAAAGAAGAAGGCTTCCTGAGAATGAAGCATTTGTATATTTCTTTTAGACTTGTTTAGGAATTGATTATTTACATAAAAAGAATATCATTCATAGAGATTTAAAACCAGAAAATTTATTATTAGATAAGTCAGGCAATATAAAGGTCTGTGATTTTGGTTGGTCAGCAGAAACAACTCAAAATGGAGTAAGAAGAACATTCTGTGGAACCCTTGATTATATGGCTCCTGAAATGCTAACCAATTAACCATATAGTTTTAGTTTAGATATTTGGTGTTTAGGAATATTATTATATGAATTAATACATGGTTATGCACCTTTTAAAGGAAGGACTGAAAATGAGAAATGCAATAATATTGTTAAAATGGTTCCTATAGATTATGATCCAACCTTATCAATAGAAGCTAAATAATTAATTCAAGGAATTTTAAAATATAACCCAAATGAAAGACTCTCAATGAATCAGATATTTGATCATTTATGGATGAAGAAATTCTACAAAAGTTATGGGATTGACTTAAGATCATATATGTATAAAGAGGAAAAACAAAATGATCTATCTAGTAGATCAATTTCACCTTAGAATGAAGATATAATGAGTAGATCATTTAATAAGAATACAAAA